CAGGAATCTCTTAGTTCACACACATCTGGAACACACTCTCAGATAAAAGGATGCTTTGCTGAATTTTGATTCCACATGTTCTGCAAGATCTAAACAGTATGAGTGTTCCAACAACAAACTAGATAAACTGAACACTAATTATGATCCCCTGGATTTGACAAATTTACTGGGTGACAGTTACTCTTTTTCTCCTGCTGTGACCTCCATTACAGGTGGAAAACAGAGCTCAGGTCCGACGAGCCTGCATGCTCCATGTTACTTTTAACCATGTTTCAACGGTTTGGATCCCCTGCTTTAAATATTCATAAGCAATTGGATCAGTGATGGAGGGATCTGATCATCACTTCTCATCAATTCAGAAGTTTGATTCCATAGTATTTCAAAGGTGTTGTAGATATCCATTATTCGGTTCCCAACCAACAAGCTTCCAACATTGCTCTGGAAAATCCAATTGCTCTCACTGGACACACTACAGTATTTTGTTCATTACCAGATCACTTCTGAAGAGGAGTGTTGAGATAAAATAACCAAAACTATACGTGGCAAAAGAAGAACATACTGCTTGTCCAAAGATGTCAAAAGGAAAAAGAGCAAAGACCAAAGAAAACTCTTCAGCGACCAGCCAGCTCACACTGTGCCTTAGTAAAGCTATTAGATGATCAGATTAAAAAACACAATAAAACAGAACAAAAAAAAAAAAAAAACCCACAAAATTTTTTTTCCTTTTTTTAGAGGAAGTTTTCAGCTAGATCCATCCTTTTGTGCAATTCACTACACAATTACACAAATCCACTGCCACAGTACAAAGGTTAACCCATTAGATACCAAAGACACCAACTGCTTCTGAATTATTGCCACTGAAAATATTGGCCCACATATTTCATGCTATTGCATTACTGATTCACTTGACTGATTCTTTACTTGGAAATGTTGTGGGTGGTTGTTGCCACGAGGGTTTTGTCAGTTATCCTAAATGTCTTAGATTTATTTTTTTTATATATGTATTTTTACAAATTGGACATCACAGATGCAACAAGCTTATCTGCATGCAAAAGAATGGCCCAAATCCAGAAAAGAACAGATTTTTAAAGAGGTTGTCATTACTCCTTCGCACTTTGAGAATCAGATCAACTAGATCCTTGTGTTCCCTAAATTTCATTCTCTGCATTCCCCTCTGTAAGCCCTTCTGCTGCTTAACCACACTTGTATCAATGTACTATTACCATCACAGGGTTTAGCTGATTGGGTGATAGTCCCATACAGATTTAAAAAAAAAAAAAAAAAATTTAAAAAAAAAAAAAAAATAAAAACAAACCAGGCTGCAAAATCAAGCAGAGAAATAGAAACAATGCATGGACATAGGCAAATGTAACATGAAACAGTAAGAGGCTTCACATCTTGTGAAGAAGCAAGACAAGCTAGAAAAATAGTGAATTGAAAGGAAGAGTTATGTCTACTTTTTTTTTTAATCCTACAGCCCTTTCACTGCAAGTATGTTCAATATCCAGTTAATGACAAGAGACTAAAAATATATATAGACAAATGGAAAATAAAGCCATCAGACCAAACATGACTACTCTTACTCTCCAAGTACAAAAATTTAAGTGTGACTCTCACATGAGAGCACAGCAGTTCAATAATAGGTAACAAACAACATTCTTACTGTTGCCCAGGACCATACTTGGGCTACAACAAACCCATTTCCAATTGTTACGGACAACTCAAAACAAACAATAGCAACAAGGATACCAAAACTTGTGTCTCCCAAAACACATTCCCAGTCACCAGGCTGCTGAGATGATGTAATCAGGAGCCTATGTTCTGGAGGAACACTATCTCAAGCCACAGCATTGGGAGACTCTGGCCTTAAGCTTACAGTCCCACCAAGAAAGGCAAACACTTCCTTCAGCACCCTATCATGAAACAATTGTTTGGGTTAAACCATAACTGAAAGTTAGTGATTGCTAATAAGGAGAGAAGAAGCTGTGGGAGGGGCTGTGAAAACATCCTCGGAGAAGTCGCTGGCATCACAAGAACACACAGATGTGTGCACATACAACTTGTGTACTAATGTGTCTTGGGAAAAAATAGTCCGCTCGTCTTAGTCCCCAAGAAATTTATCAGCAAGAGTTTTTCTTCTCCAAAGCAGTTACTACAGCTACTATTTAATATTTAAACCCAGTGTAATCCTTGGAAGTTAGGCCAAAATATAAGTGGCATCAATCCAGGTATTTTGGAGTAGACAGTAGCATTATGAAACCAGGATAAAAGCTTAAATTTATTTCTTTACAGCTTGATGTTTGATATTGGTTTCATATTTACCAAAACTGTCTGCTCAGCTTCACTGTGATAATAAAGCTGCCATGCAGGCCTCCTGAACTAGAGCTGTCACAGGTTAAACACAACTGGGGCAAATCTGTAATCTTGATATTCCCCTTCAGAGAAAAACCTCATTTGCATCACTGAGGTTTTTTTGAAGACTCTATCTCTTGCTACAGTATTAAAAAAATCTGTGTAAGACCTGGTGGCAACAAAAGAAACAGGAAAATTTGTATACAAGCAAGCTCAAACGCTAGTAAAATTGTTTAGAAGTTCAGAAAGATGTGTATTTTCCTTCTGCTGTTACCCCCTCAGCTCCCATGCTTTTAAAATAAGCTTCTGTATGAAAATATGAAGAATTAGCCTATCCAAACACAAAGCCTGGGAAACAACACTTCAGCTTCTGCTTCTCCAAATAAGCAGGTTCACGTCATTTGTTATTACTCTATTATTATTCTGAAGACCATGCATTAACTATTTTTTGTCTAGAGGCAAAGTGTTACTGTAATATCTAGTTCTGCAACAGCCCAATGTAACTACAAAAGATTCTCATCTAACTGATACTAACTTGTGTTAACATAAGCAAGATCTACTGGTACTACAAACAAGGCACTTTGGGAAGCAACTTTTTAGGTCCAAAAATGGAATCCACCCCTCTTCCCACACCCATCACCTCTCTCATTCCAATCTCATAAACTTGGTAGCTAAAAACTCAGAGTTTTTCTAAGTACTAGATGCAGTTTTATATTTTACAGTTACCTACTTGTCTACTATACTCTGTTCTTGATACGTTTATTTTGAAAAGGCACTATATACAAGCAGAACAAGAGAACCCACATTTGGTTTCAAGTCAGGAGCTTTCAATCACAAACAACATGGAGGAAAACACTCTCACAGACTGGTAACTCCTACAATACTGTTTGTTGCAGCCAATTACCCACACCACCAACAACTATTACCTAAGGAAATGAAGATAAAGTCAACCACTTTTAGTGAGAATAGTGCCTATAAAGGCTCTTGAATTTCTTTATACAGTAAGAACTGGTTGTTTAATTCATTGTCTTCTGCTAAATCTCAGGAGTTCTCAAGAACTTACCAAACACAGCTCTAAGCAAGCCAAACCTTCTAACCACCAGTGTAGTTATTCACCTAATCATCATGGATTTACAACAGCATACAGCAATGACACCTACAAAAAGTGCATTCTACCTAAATTTCAATCAAAGCGATGGAGAAGAATTCAATTACACTGAACTACTA